ATAAATTATTATTAGTAATTATTACTAAATCATTAGTATCAAATCATTAAATATTAATAATAAATCATTATTAGTAATCATTACTAAATTATTAAATGTCAAAGCATTAAATATTAATAATAATAAAATTAAATATTATTAAAAAAATAATAGATCTATTTAAAATTTGATCCGATATAATCGATTAACATATTAGATAAAATTCGATCCGATATAATCGATTAACATATTAGATAAAATTGATCTGATATAAAGATCACTGTAGCAATCGCCCAATTTCAACAATTAATTCTTTGAATTTACGTTAATCGATCCGATAAAAATCACGTAATAATGCCTTGTAAACCCCACTTGATTAACTAGAGAAATTATAGTGGAAGAAATATTAAATATGAAAAGTGTTTGACTAGGAAATGGAATCTGTCCAAATCTTTAAATATAATAATTGAATGTGGAAATGAGAGGAAATAATAATGGAATAAATATTAAAAATGAAAAATGAAAAGTGCTTGACTAGGAAATGGAATCTGTCCATTATGCAAGCAGACCATAGAAACAACTTTCTCTAAGGTCGCCCAGCATACATGGCGACCTTCCTAGTAGCAAATACCCTATCTCATCAATCTCATCAATTAATTGTTCAAACGGATTATACGGTGAATTTATTTTTTCTACAACATTATCTTGTCAATTTAGCAAGGGCTTTTGTCACCATTGTTTTTTTAGTGGAAAAAACACAGTATTGGCCCTTTTTTATTGACTTTCGAAATGGTTTTCTTTTATTCAATTATTAAAATATCACTCTCGATCTGTAAGTGTAAATTTTTATTTACAAAATTTTACAACATAATATTTCTATAAATTTATATTTATTTTTTATAAGAATTATTTATGTATTAATTTATAATATTAATGATTTGTAATATTAAAGAATTCAATTCTGAACGCAAGATTTATTAAAAGACACCAATTCTGAACATCGTGAGATGTGCTTTAACATTCCAAAAAGATTTTTCAAAATATCTTTCTAAAGGGTGATTTTATAGGTATTCAGTCGTATCTAGTCAAAAACCGATCGATTACAATTCATTTTATAAACCGCGCTTTGTAAAATAAAATATTTTTTAACTTAATAATGATTTGGACAAGGAAGAAGAGAAGACTATGGACCATCTCTTTAAACAGTGCCATTTTGCAAGGGCTACCTGGCTTGGTTCGTATCTCTCGATCAGAATCGAGAGATTCTAATAGGAGGGCATCGTTTGTTGTGAGCTTCAACCAGCTCTTTCAGAAATTCAATCGCTCCTCATACTACCGTCCGCAAGGAAGTCTACAACTGGTTAAAGCAGCAGCTAAACATATCATATCCTTATTACGATTCAAGCACATGCAGCCATGCACTATTATGCGCCCCATAACCTTGACATAATAAAAGCCGCCAGAAACTCGAATAGCAAATGAAAATTTTCACTTTCCGTTATCTAATTCGGTACAATTCCGATTTCAGGAAGTTCAGAAAACTGTTCTTGAATATATGATAGCATTACCTTACAATTACTAAAAACCGACACGCAGCAATAAGCCATAACTCACACTGTGTCCTTAGGCACATTTTGGTGCTTAAATTTGGGCATCATCATCCAGCTACTCAGTAAGTCCCACACTGTTGTCCCAATGACAACTACAAATCATCCAAGCTTACTTCTTTTAAGCCTAACTGATAATTTATTCTGTCCAAACTCTGCGAAAGAGGTGTGTCAGCTTCCCTAATAAAATATTAATTACAACTCACATGAATGGCTTGCTTATGTTAGAATTTTCATGTTTTTTTCCTCATTTAGTTAATTTATTTTTCTAGCGTCTAAGGTTCCAAATACAAGAAAAGTATTTTTTTATTCTAAATAAACATAAACCTTGAGAATTACATAACTGTGATCAATCCCACATCAAAGCATGTCAAAATTAAATTCTAAAGGATGGGTTATCGAATATTATAGAGCAAGCTCAAATGATAAAATTACAATATCAAGCATGGACATACCACATAAACTCTAAAGTGTTGCGAGTGGTGATCCAGCATCGTTGAAGTAAGATGTGAGATCAGCATTCGAGTTATCGTACATGCTCAAGAAAGGCAAATCCTGTAATCGCATGTGAAGCAGATATTTAATCAATTCTTTACAGCTTGAAAATAATGGAGACAAAAAAAAGAAGAAATCAAGATATTTGCATACCAGCAGTTCCTGGGCTGATTTTCTCTCATTTGGGTCTTTCTTTAAACTGCCATGGATAAATGAAAAGGCAATTAAAAAATAAAAACAAAAAACCCAGATTGGGCTTGGAAAAATTGTACAATCGAACATGTTATAAAATCCTCTTGAAAGAAAAATATACCAATTGCAGAGACTATCATTCTAGTAATGAAGGAAATCGATAAATGATCTCCTTTGACAGATTACCAATTTGAAGAGAACTTTACCTTAATACAAAACTTGCCAACTCTGAGCACAAAAATATTGTAGAACATAAGGCAAGTGTATCAAGTAATTCAAAACATGATCTTTACCATGCAGAGATAAATGAGCAAAACTCAGGAGAAAATTGGTTTGAGGGTGCACAAGGTGGTGGTTGTTCAACAATTTGTTCCATGAGCTCATAAAAATTTGCCCACCCTGCTTCCTGATCAGGTGGGGAATATGGGAACTGACCAGTTGCACACTCGAGCAACACAAGTCCCAAACTCCAAATGTCACTTTTATTGCCATAATTGCCACCAATAATTCTCTCAGGCTAGAAAAGAAGCAAATAGACAGTAAAAGACTAATAAATTTTGAACAAATAAGAATAACGTAGAACTTAGCACCTAAAAGAACATTATTTTGGTAAACTAAATTACTTACAGACATATAGTTGTATGTGCCAACAAAAGTGTTTGCTAACCCTGAGGTACTCGTCATTATTGCACTCACACCAAAGTCAGTGATTTTGACTTCTCCTCTATGATTTATTAACAAGTTGGATGGCTTTAAATCGCGGTGGATAATGTGTTTTTCATGATGAAGATACATCAGACCCTTGAGCACCTGGCATTAATGAGAAGAATTTAACACTGCATACCATAACATTTGGTATAAACAATAATTGATTCGAAGTTCAAATTTACAAACCTGCTTACATATCATAGCAAGATAGGGTTCAGGGATTGATTTAACCTTTCTCAGAAAGTCTGCTAAGGATCCACCATCCATATACTCTAAGATGATTGAAATGCAACCATTGTTATAGAAAGACTGATAACAAACAACAACATATGGACACTGGGAGGACTGATTTATTTTCAATTCCTTTGCAATCTGCTTCCGAGATGACTCCTCAATATTCATTTGAATAACCTAACAAAAAAAGAAATGTCAGAAATTAAGAGTTGCGAGGACAAAACTTAGATGATAATTGATAAACTAAGAACTCATTTCTATTGTTAAGCTTTTTCTTGGCTAGCTCCAATATTTAAAAAGAAACAACAAAATCTGTTTAGAAGAATGGCTTCAATTAAAGAAAGAAAGTCTGAACATGCTTCATTAATTCTTAGTTTATCCAACAACAGTTGCATTTCTATAACAGGAGATTGATCATAATACATTTGGCAACCAAGATTAAAGAGAGATTCTTTGTTATCATTATTATGATGAAATCTATCAATAAGTTTCCAAGGAACCAAAGCCCTGACTTGAGTTGACACAAAGTAAAATGATAATGTACGAACAATAATTGAAGTTACAGTTCTGCAACCTAGAGAGGTTCCAACTTCACAACATGTAATTTCATGACAGTATGTTGTGTTTGAAGAGCAACTAATTCTAGCTTAACTAAAGAACATACATCAGAACATTCTAACAGAAAAAATATACACAAAGTGTTAAACTTGAAACATGGAGATGTACCTTCAATGCAAAAAACTGGCCAGTCCATTTGTGTTGGACCAGTTGCACAATTCCACCATTACCCTTGCCTATAACTTTTATGGCATCTAGATCTTCTAAACTCAGTTGATTATCATTGTCAGCTTCCGATGGCTTAATAGGCGGAGGCTAAAACCAAAAGCACACACAAAATTAAGATCTTCGAAGCATGAAATTTAATAAAATAAAAATCAAACAGTTTTATTGAATTTGGTAATATCTATTTAACCAAGATCATTCTAGTGATACATAAAGAGTAAAAAAAAAACTCCGAACAACGAAAAAAACATCAAAGATGAAATATGAAAATGAAAATTCTTACAGCTTCAGGTTCGGATTGAGAGACAATTCGAACACCGTCCTTGTTGACGAGGAGATCGCCGTCTTTGAATGTGCCGCTTTCGGTTCTGCCATGAAAAAAATTCATAACAAAAATCAAATTTTTAAAAACGGAAAGCAGAAACATTGAATGAGTGGACGTAATAATTAATTAAATTAATCATTACAGAAATTTGGAGAAGGAGATCTCGTCTGCAGGAGGGAGAGAAAGCTTCAAATTAGGGATTGAAATTCCCTTTCCCTTCATCATCTTCTCTTTCGGGCTTATTGGACGGAAATCAGCTCTCGCTAAGCGTTAGGGCTTCCAGTTTTAACTCGACTTTGTTAACGAAATCTTCTCCAACATTTATCAACTCAACGCTATTTAATAAGATTTCCTTTTTCGAATAATAATTTTCGGGGTAAGTTATATCTGCTTGCTCCTTACCGTTGCCGACGGATGTGATCTAAGTCATAAGATTTGGAAAGGGTGAGCCTACTGATTAAGCAGTTCCATTTATCGTAAAATATTATATATTTTTTATATGATATCAAAAAATATTTCTAATAGAAATACGATACTGTTACATAATATAAAATAAAATTAAATAATCATTTAATTTGCTAGATGAAGTTAAGCTTGGCAATAGGCAACTATAATAATTTCCTGCTTTTACAGTTCATCTTTCACCATATTTACAACCATTAAAATTTTGAATTTAATTCTACAAAATTCAGATTTTATATCTTATATATAAAAAAAACACTATAAATTCTTAAATCAAGACTACTGGTTCGGACTCTCTAAGAGAACCAACAACTCTTGCGCTTTGCCTCATACAATCAACAGTTACTAATTCGTCGTGGATTTTACAGCTTTCAAGGCTGGTGGTGTATCTCAGACGAATTGTTCGCTGTCACCATTAAATCCGAAGGTTGATCATTTTGTAGTGCTGGCTGCATTTGAATCTCGGATTTCTTTTTCTCTTTCACGATCACCTGTTTAGGCATTACTTCTAACAGGAAGCTTCCTCCATTCCATACTGAAGCAGATACCTTGAGTATTTGGAAAATCGTATGGCATTTGTATGATAGGAAGATGGGGACAGTGAGTGCCATGGTTGCCACGGTAAAAATGGCTTGAAATAGAATGTACATCAAGAAACGGTTTTGATCCCCGAGCAACCCGTTTAAACGCCACCATATGTTGTTTGCTTTCTTGGCCTTTTTCGAAAGTTCCCTGTTATATTAAGTAATCATCAGAGTAAAGAGAAGCAACGTAGTGTAATATGGGAATAAAGAGAGCGTACCTGTAAGATGTCATGACTTCAGGATCTCTTAACAGCCTCTGCCGACGCAGCACGTGAACTATGAGGAAATAAAGAACTTGCCATAGGGTATAAGCAGCTAAGGGTACCCCAAACAGCCAAGTCCAAAGGAATGACTGGTCTTCTACGTAAGGCCATGAAATTCTACTAGATGTTCCTTCAGGTTGCATGGCTTCAAAGGTTGCTGGATTCCACCATCGAATTGTAAAAAAAACTATTCCTGAAAACGGAGATGGGTTATATTTGGCATCAAGAATATTTGAACTAACAATAAATAAACTATGAGGGAGGTTCCTAATGAGTCCTCCTATTCCTATAAAAAAAAAACTAACAATAAATAAACATAAGCTTCGCCTCTCTTTTTACAGATGTGGTCTTTTCCAGAAACACCTGCTCCAAAATTGTGCAACACCTTCCTGCCATATTTCCCTGTATATACTACTAACATACCATCAAAGGTACATACCATCTACTCTTTTTACAGGTCAAGTGAGATTTCTTAGGCTACAAGAAAAGAAAAATGATCCAGCCACTTGGGGTTTGCAGATGTCTTTCAATCTCTACAGAGAAAATGATGTTATTTCTAATTATTTTTCTTCGAAGATGTTCAGAAACATGACAAGTACCGTTCTGTATGGTAATTCTCCTGAAGTGTTATATGCTAGATTTCACATTTGGTTTTTCTAATCTCAAATTGTTTTTCTTCAAAGATGTACAGGAACATGGCCAAATAAAAATTGTCCCAATTTGCATACACTGTTCTTCTGAAGTGCTATATGCTAGAGTTTTTATTTTGGATGCATAAATAGTTTATCTCATAACATATAAGATAAATCCAATTATCAAACAAGGCATAAGCAAAAATGAACTAGAAAAAAATGCCTACATTCAACTCCTTGTTAAACAATATACTATAAAAGTTTTGCCACAAGGCATGTCCAACTAATGGAAAAATTCCAGATGCTTGACATCTCAGCTTTCTTGAATCTCCTCTGAAGGCTAAGGATTGATGCCATAGAGGCCCTCTATTCAGAATCAGAAGGTCAGGTTTATACAGAGGAATAAAGTCTTTTCTACTTTCGATATTCCAGTTTGAGCAAGTACAGCTCATTGAATGGGCAGAAATAGTCGAGGAATATTTAATGATAATCAACATTATGTAGGACATGCACAACAAAAATAATTAGAATCTGGAGAGTAAGAAAATCTCTTGTATGTCTGCGTATGTACAACGGCAGAAAATCCAGATAAGACATAAGAACATTCCACAGATATCATAAATGAACATAATAGGTGGAAATTTTAAGATGCTTTTTATGAGCATGGTAAGTTTATATAACATGTCATCAATTTCATTCTGCAACAACCTTAGCAGTTGCTACCATGTATGACAAGAAAAGTACACATACACAATTGAATATTTAACAGCCTTTAAATCCTAGTCGCCCCCACCACCCTTCTTCCATTTTGAAAGAAAAACTATAACAACAGTAACAAACTTATTGCATAAAAATTGCTTTTCAAATAAAAAAAGTGCAAATAAGGAAAACAAACATACCGGGCAAAAGATGTATAAGGACACTAATAATTTTGTCGACAGAACTAAAAACCAGGCTACAACGCCAAACAATGAGTGCCCATGCTAATGGCCCCTACAGTAGCATCCAAAGGATTGAAGAAAGTTAAAAACTAATCCTTCACCAATGAGAAGTATGTAAGAGACCGAGTACTATAATAATCTTTACCTCAGCAAATGAGAAGCAAACCATGAAAAGCTTTTCATTTTTTGGATAAAGAATAAGGTCAAACAAGAAGATTGTGTTTGCATAATAGCAGAAATCCTAACACAGAGAAATGTATCAGCTTCATCAGTTTCTGATCAATTTCCTTCAATAAATTTCAATAACATTACCAAATTGCACAGAGATACAACTTACCAGAAGATAGTAATGCCATTTCTTAAAGCGGTAATATATCCACCGAAGAGGAACAAAGATGACATAGAAGAAACAATACACATAAGGAATATCTTGTGGCCCTAGAAATCAAATTCCAAAATGAATGAGTAAACAAACATAATGGATTCCAGAGTCAAAATTTCCTTATAACCAAATCCATTAATTAAAGACTATATTTACTTACTCGCTCCCAAGAGAAAGCAAAACCCTCCAAAACCAAGAACCCCCAAAAGATGCGTCACCTAAACATAAAAAATCCAGAAAAGGAAAAAGAATCCGAAATTGTAACTTCATTTCCTATATTCTTAATGACAGATCCACTTACCATACATTAATATGAGCCATTAAATTCAATATGACAAACATAAATCAAAGAACGAACAATGAAACGTTTACCTTGTTGATAAATCGCTCGTGTTCTTCAGCACGTTTGGCGATCTTCACAGCATGTTTCGACAGCATCTTCTTCGTTTGAACAGCTTGTTTAGACAATATCTCCTTCGTTTTCGCTACTTTCTGCACCAAAAACCAAACATAATCCCACATTATTAAAGGAGCCAACAGCCAATGCTGAAACACAAGATTTGATTCAAAAATGACTGAATAAAGGAAGGAAACGAAGCAGGAAAATTCATTGGATTTCGAAAAACCATACCTCCGATCGAACTTTGAATCTCTGTTTCATCGGGCCGGACGGTGGATCCCCCTTCTCATTCAGGCTCTCTCCAAATTCATCACTGTTACTCATTTTTTCCCCTTTTTTTTGTAAAGGAATTGAATGAATTCTTTTCAAATCAAATCAAATCGAATAACAGGTGAAGAAAGACGATGGGAAAAAGGTGGTGGCGTCCGTGTGAATATATACACACAAAAACAAACAAGAGACGCATATCTTATTTAAACGTCGGGTTAATTACTAATAATGACATTAATAAACTCCTAATCCACATTAAGCTGATCATTAAATATAAAATACTAAATAATTTCATCCTCCATAATTGAAAGCAGGACGAACACTCCGTTGACCCCTTCCCAACCCTCATATGTGAGATGATAGCATAGGTTACCGAATCATCACTCTAATTTTAAAATATATACTATTATTTATTTTAATCTAAGTTTAGATATATTCATTTATCATTTTGATTGTATTATGATAAATATTTACAAATATATAAGTATTATATTTAAATCTGTTATGATTTAAATTCATCCTTCAATATTTTAAAACGTGATTTGTCAATTCACATATAATATACTTTTTTATAACTTAATTTATTATTATTGTTAAATAAATATTAAAATATATTTTTTATGTAAAATATTTTCTTCTGTACATATCATGAATACAATAAAATTTAATTATCGTGTTTAATTTTATTAAGCAACTAAAAATATAAAATTTTCACTTGACCCGTCTCCTTATCTTACATGGTTGTTGAATTTGTGTTCTTTTGATTTATTTTCGTATTATTATCATAAATAAATGAGATTTTGTTTTGCTAAAGCTTTGAATATTAATTTGAAATTATGCTAAAACCATTTTATCACTCAAAAAATTATTTAAATTAGAGAAAGATAATTTAAACCCAGTTTAAAGCAAGATAAAATCATCGTTAACAAATTTGATTATATTTAAATTAAAAGTAAGTATATTTAAATTGATGGTTTTAAGATATTATAATAATATATAGTGCTGTTTAGAAAAATAATATATTTATAAATATAAAATTCTTTTCAATTAAAAACAATAAAAAAAATAAAAAAAACCAAATAATTGAGCCGGACACGACAGCTCAACGTCCACTATAAACCATAAAAAATAGATAAAATCACATGCAGTGACATGGATAATTGCAAGAGGGGGTGACGTGGAGTTTATTTTGGTTTCGTCCACACTTGTACGGATGCAGTTGTCAGTAAATTATTGGATTTGCTGCAATTCGAATCCACCGATTAATATGGTACAACGTTGTCGTGTAGACGTGGGGGAAATAATAGGATAACCTTTCCCTTCTAAATTGCACGTGGGTCGGATGATGGATGAATTTATTTTTAAGTAATACATAAAAGTATTCATTTATTGAAAATTGTATTAATAATTTCTTGTTAATCATAGACATAATCGAGACTACTATAAAATCTTACAATGATCGTCAATGATCGTCTAGTGATAGTTTGATCTGCAAAAGCATGAACAAAAGCAACGACGCATATAAATTAATAGCACCAACGGTTTCGAACACCAACTATAGAGGAGAAAAATTTGAAGAAGATCTAAAACAACAAACGGAGAAGGCAATCCCAACCATGGAAGCATATTGAAATACATACCAAGAAGAAAAATCAAGAATTAAATCTACACCGAAAGTCCATAAACACCGGTAGCCATGATACCCTTTACTAGAAGAAGGGTCAAGAGAAAATATTAATATAAAACTATGATAAAACTAAAATTGAAAAGTAGTAAAAGTAAAAAAGAAATAACGAAAAATGGGAACAAAAGGGCAGGGGATGAAGTTAAATACATATCTACGGGTGTAAAATCATAACAATTCATGAATCGTTCGTATATCGTTTGTTTATTAAGTTAAATAAATGAATATAGATAAAAAAATTTATGTTCGTATAAAAAACGAATGAATATGAATATGTGTGTGTTCAATTTATTTATGTTTACGAACAAGCTCGTCTACAGATCTGTTTATCAAATTGTTCGTTTATGTTTATAAATAGAGAAAATCGCCTCAGTGACCAAAAAAAAGTTATAATATACGATTTTAACCAACTTTTTTTGGATTTGCCAAAATGACCAACAAAATCGCAACGCGAAATAAAAATCGCAACGCGATCCCCAGAATCGCAAATCAGTTTCCAGAATCGCAACGCGATTCTTGAAAATCGCGATGCGATAGTACAAATTCGCATTGCGATTTTCCATAATCGCAACGCGAATATGAAAATCGCAACGCGAACACATAAATCGCAACGCGTATCCGTAAATCGCAACATGTATCCGTAAATCGCAACGCGTATGGGTAAATCGCAATGCGTATCCGTATATCGCAACGCGTATCCGTAAATCGCAACGCGTATCCGTAAACCGCAACGTGTATCCGTAAATCGCAACGCGTATCCGTAAATCGCAATGCGTATCCGTAAATCGCAACGCGTATCCGTAAATCGCAACGATAATCCGTAAATCGCAACGCGTATCCGTAAATCGCAACGATAATCCGTAAATCGCAACGAGAATCTGTAAATCGCAACGATAATCCGTAAATCGCAACGAGAATCTGTAAATCACAACACTGAAATTTTGGGTATATAACACTGAAATCATAAACTAAATCCCTAAATCGCAACTCATTCCATCTCCATCTATCACTCTCTCCGGCGACATCCGTTCCTATATCCAACGACATCCTTCCCCATCCGGCAACAGGTCTTAGTTTCGCATCTCGTTTGTTTAGTTACAACCATGAAATCATCTAATGTTGATCATGTTTGGATAGATTTGTGTTTTGGAGGGTCATGGGATAATGTTAATGGTGTTTTACAATATATGCCTTTACCCATAAATCTTCAACTAAAATTGTCTTTACAAAAGTTAACTTATGAAACTCTAATGCTACGTGTTTCAAATAAATTGAATTTAGAGCCCCTAAGTGGATTTAGGCTATCTTATCAGAGAAATGGTAAAGTTTATTTGTTAACCGACAATGAAGATGTTGAACGATTCATTGCTTACATTAGTGTTTCACAAGATGATGTTACATTGTATGTTGTTGAACCTAGAAGTAGTATTGTTGGGTCAGTAGCGGGTAGTAATCAACTAAGTTTTTCTCAAAACCCACAACCTTTCTCTAATCCAAATCCCAATCAACTTTCAGCACCAAATTCCGGTTTTCGTATTGACCAGTTAGACGATGATGAGCCAACAGAAAAAATTGTGAGTACTAGTCAGTATTCGAAATTTGGTCTTGGTCAATATCCGGACTTTGATATTGGTCAATACACGGATTTTGATGATGTTTCAGAAGAAGAAACAGACCATGCGTGTAATGATATTGATATTGGTCAATACCCGAATTTTGATGATGAAACAGCCGTTGCCGAAGAATGTAATGTTGATGATAATGAGGAGGAAGTTACGACTATGAATGAACATGTTGAACATCCATTCTGTAATTCATATAATCCTGAAGAAGAAAAAGAAGAAGAAAAAGTCCCCGAAGAAAAGAAAATGCCACGGGCGTATAACTGGAATATGCCAGAATTACTTCAGATACCGGAAGAAGAGTTGATAAAGAAAGCAGTTGATTGTTACACAAAAGTTATTCGTATCAAGAAAGATGATTGTTTTGATACAAAGGAAGACTTGAAGATAGCTTTATATACGAAATGTGTGGAAGATGGCTATCAACTAAAAGTTAACAAATCAAGCAAAGATCGTTTCGAAACAAGGTGTATGATTGACAAAAACTGTACGTGGCGTATGATTGCAAAGAGAATAAAAGATTGCAAAATGTTTCAAGTTAGGACTTTTATTGATAAACATACATGTTCAAGAACCCAAGTTTTTCCTCACCATAGACAGGCAAACAAAAAGGTGTTGGGTGGTTTTCTGGCTGAGTTAATGTTTTTGAATGGCAGGGTATATCGGGGACATGAAATTATGACTGACATGAATGCTCGGTTCAAGATTAGTATATCATATTCTCAAGCTTGGAGAGCCAAATGTTATGCCTTGGAATTGTTGAGGGGGTCGCCAGAAGCATCGTTTGCCCAACTGCCGGCTTATTGTCACAATTTAAAGCTGAAAAATCCTGGGTCGGTAACTCATATCAAAACAGATAGAGATGGACGCTTTGAGTTGCTGTTTATCGCCATTGGTGCTACGGTTAGTAAATCAATATAATTTTGTTGACTCATTTTTGTTAGTTACATGCATTTCACATTTAAATGATTATATTTCTTGTGTATATTATTTTGTAGATTCGTTCGTTTATTACTTGCATGCGCCCAGTTATTATAGTTGACGGAGCACATTTGAAAGGTCGATACCTTGGAGTAAACTTATTAGCAGTAGCCATGGATGCTAACAATGGGATATTGCCAATAGCTTACGGGGTTGGCAAATCTGAAACCTCTGATTCATGGACATGGTTTATGGGGCATCTTAGGGATTGCATAGGTCCTATTAGCAATCTGACAATCATATCCGATAGGGCAAACTCAATTGACAACGCTGTTAGAAGGTGTTTCCCAGATGCTTTTCATGGACTTTGTGGTGTTCATTTGTATAGAAATCTAAAATCAAGGTCTGCTGGTATAAAAAAGCACAAATGGACATACTGGAAGGCTGTAAAAGCTTATCGGGAAGTGGATTTCAATAAGCATATAAATTGTTTAAGACGTGTTTTGCCTCAGTGTGCTCAAACACTAGAAGATGTCGGGTTTGAAAGATGGTCAAGAGTACATCAACTTGGAGCAAGATATGGTTTCATGACGTCTAATAGTGCAGAATCAATCAACGCTCTAAGTCGTCATTCCCGGAAATTACCCATTACTATGTTAATGGAGTTTTTTCGAGCCTCTATTCAACAGTGGTACTACAAGAAAAGAAACCATGCAGGTATTATTTCTTTGAATTCGTAACTTATCATATTTATATATTTTACTAAGTATTGTTTATTTAAATTTACAGGAACATTGGAACATCGTGTTACACCATGGACTGAAAAAAAGATAACGAAACGTGTTGTGAAGTCAACGTCATGGAGAGTTGAACCATGTTCAAACACTTTGTTTCAAGTACTGGATAATAACTTAAATGGGCTAGTCGATCTAAATGCAAAGACGTGTAGTTGTATGAAATGGCAAACATCTGGTTATCCGTGTGGCCATGTTATAAAAGTTGCTCTT